GCGGTCTCAGTATACCGCGAGCTGCAGCTCCCTATATACTGAGCCTAGGGTGACGGGAGGACGCTAGTTTGTGTCCTCCCGTTACCCTAAGGAGAACTATGGGGGAAAGCCCTGACCCCATAGTTCTCCTTTAAGTTTGAAGCAGCCTAATAATAACTAAAAATAGATTCATTTATCAAGCAGCAATAGTGAGATTAATTCACAATGACGACGGCTCGATATAACTAAATAGGTAAAATAAAAATGTAAAGAAAAGTTTTAAAAAATAGTAAAATATACATTCGTGAGCATGAGAACGGTCACATTTCTGGCTCCCTTCTGCTGTTGGGAGATTTTCTCCGCCATCACTTACCAGGCCGAGATGCCGTTGGGATCTCTCACCACTCTCTTGGCGCATTCAATGTCATCGTAGATGTTGTCGTTGAGAAGACCTGAATGACAAAAGAATGAATTCCGGGTCAGAACCTGCGTTGTGGACGTGTAGTCCGGGAGACGCGTCTTATATCGGGGGTGGGAATCATTTTTATGCATTAAAGCTGAAGTTTCAAGTTTTCGGTTCTGCTTATATTTTCCCTGGCTCCTCCCCTCCTCCTCATCAACATATTAATGACATTTCAAAATACATATTTTCCGATGTCATCACTCCACTTCCCAGAGGCTGGTGGGAGGGGCTTCCTGAAAGCATCACAGCACCCTGCCTCAGTATTCCATTTAAGAGCCCTCAGCCCTGATGCAAGTAGTGGGCTGGCTTTTGGGAGGAGTTATGCAAATATCTCTCAGAACTGGTTGGACAGAAATAACTATCCTGCGTTTTGTCTGTGTATTTAGGTGTACTTACTCTGACAGCTAATCCCACATGCGTTTGCAGCGCCGGCAGTCTTCCCGTCGTTGCACCACCATTTGCTGTTGATCTGGAAGATTCCGTAGTCACGGCTCGGCCCGTTGTTGTTCACAGCTGCAGTGTTGTAACGGCTTTCATAATAGGCGAGGCAAATCCCTGTCAGATGATAGAAAAGTACGATCACAACGAAGACCATCGTCATGGTGAAGGAGAAGAAGGAGGAGAAGAAAAGATGTCGAAAAGGAATATCTTCAAAACATGTGTGAAGGTGCAAAGAGCAGAGTTAGAAGACCTGGGACACTCAGTAGAAGACCTGGGGCACTCAGTAGAAGACCCGGGGCACTCAGTAGAAGACCTGGGGCACTCATTAGAAGACCCGGGGCACTCAGTAGAAGACCTGGGACACTCAGTAGAAGACCCGGGGCACTCAGTAGAAGACCCGGGGCACTCAGTACAAGACCTGGGGCACTCAGTAGAAGACCTGGGGCACTCAGTAGAAGTCCTGGGGCACTCAGTAGAAGTCCTGGGGCACTCAGTAGAAGACCTGGGGCACTCAGTAGAAGACCTGGGGCACTCAGTAGAAGTCCTGGGGCACTCAGTAGAAGACCTGGGGCACTCAGTAGAAGACCCAGGGCACTCAGTAGGAGACCTGGGGCACTCAGTACAAGACCTGGGGCACTCAGTACAAGACCTGGGGCACTCAGTACAAGACCTGGGGCACTCATTAGAAGACCCGGGGCACTCATTAGAAGCCCCGGGGCACTCAGTAGAAGACCCGGGGCACTCAGTACAAGACCCGGGGCACTCAGTAGAAGACCTGGGGCACTCAACAGGAGACCTGGGGCACTCAATAGGATACCTGGGACACTCACTAGGATACCTGGGGCACTCAATAGGATACCTGGGGCACTCAATAGGATACCTGGGGCACTCAGTAGGAGACCTGGGGCACTCATTAGAAGACCTGGGGCACTCAGTAGAAGACCTGGGGCACTCAACAGGAGACCTGGGGCACTCAATAGGAGACCTGGGGTACTCAATAGGAGACCTGGGGTACTCAATAGGAGACCTGGGGTACTCAATAGGAGACCTGGGGTACTCAATAGGAGACCTGGGGTACTCAATAGGAGACCTGGGGTACTCAATAGGAGACCTGGGGTACTCAATAGGAGACCTGGGGTACTCAATAGGAGACCTGGGGTACTCAATAGGAGACCTGGGGCACTCAATAGGAGACCTGGGGTACTCAATAGGAGACCTGGGGTACTCAATAGGAGACCTGGGACACTCAGTAGAAGACCTGGGGCACTCAATAGAAGACCTGGGGCACTCAATAGAAGACCTGGGGCACTCAATAGAAGACCTGGGGCACTCAGTAGGGGACCTGAGGCACTCAGTAGGAGACCTGAGGCACTCAGTAGGAGACCTGGGGCACTCAATAGGAGACCTGGGGCACTCATTAGAAGACCTGGGACACTCAATAGGAGACCTGGGGCACTCATTAGAAGACCTGGGGCACTCAGTAGAAGACCCGGGGCACTCATTAGAAGATCTGAGGCACTAAGTAGAAGTCCTGGGGTGCTCATTTGTCAGTAGACCCGGGGTAGTCCAAAAAATGGTCCCAATGAAATGGTGTCAATATGTGAAAATATACTGCATGCTCCAACCTCAGGTCAGGCCTTCTAGGTTCAGCATTAAAGCTGCAGCATCGCTATGGTTGGCCTGGTGTGGTCTATCTACCTTCACCGACTATCAGTGACCAGACTGCAGCATCACTTACAGTTAGCGGCGCTATGTCCGCGGTATCCGGCCAGCCCAGTCTGCTGGAAGATTCTGTACAACTCGCAGTTAGTATAAACCTTCCCCTCGGAGGCGTAACACAAGCCCAGGCAAACGGCAAGGAACAGGAGGAGCTTCATACTGTTCAGCTGAATTGTTCAAGAGAAATGGCCGAACCAAACTTGCTGAAGATTGAACTGGAAGAAATATCGTCATTATCAACCGGCGGCAGGAAATGATCATCTGACATCAGAACATAACGTACCAGAGATCGGAGGTGTTTTCACTAATGCAGTCATGTCCAAAGTCCGGCCCGTGGGCCATTGGGGCCCTAGAGATAGATGTAGCTCTGGCCTGGGGAGACTCTGTGTCCCAGGAGAGCTGATTTATAGGGGGCGACCGAGAGGGGACGGGCATTCCGTTCAGGAGAGAGTACAGGAGAGCAGAAGTCTAAGACTGTTTGCAGAGTCTCCGGAGGAAGACTGATTCTTGAACATAGGCTGGTCCATGGGAAGGACAGGACCAGGCCTAGGACTATGTAGAGCTATAGAGATTCCCCAGTTTTCCCTGGAGGGGGAAACCCACCGAGCTAGGACTGACAATGGATGGGATTCCGGAGAATAGTGAGAAGCTGTAGTACAGTTATTTAAACCGTTAACCCTCGCCGCGGTGCTACCTCCGCACTGCAAGGGTTATCTGCTTCAGAATACAGAAGATATACTCACATGATTCTCTGTCCTGCGGCTGTCAGCACTCACCTCTCTAGGACTCCGCTCTGGCTGTGGTGTGTCCTTCAGTGTCCTCAGTAGATGACTTGACGTGCCCATGATGTCTAATGCAAGTGAACCTGCATTAGACATGATGACATCAGCGGTTCTTAGACCGCCAGAGCCTGGAGGGAGAGGAGGCTGGGGGGGACCCGGGAATCAGGTTTATACTTTTATTTGTGCCCCCCCCCAGATCAAAATGGGCAGGGAGGGGGTAGGCTCACTGCAAGGGTTAACTTCTTGGATTCCTGGAGTTCCTCTTTAAAAAGAGGTCTAAAAAAGTATTTTCGGATGCCCAATAATACTCTTCGGATCATTGTGTACAGATGTGAACGGGGCCGAAGTGATACCTTTCTGTTGGGCAGCTAATTATAATGGGAAGCTTTGGAGACGGCTCGGCTGTTACTGTACCTGACGAAGGGCGCCCTGAAGGGTCTGCAGTTCATGACTAAGGGCTGACAATGGACACAACCCAATAACAGGCCATGCAGCTCGTTCATGGAGAAAAACATTTAACTTACTCAGAATGTGGTTGGATAATGAATTATGGGAAAGTAAAGATCATACTCACTGTCTCTGGTATCCGCTGAGTTTGGCTTAGGACTGCCAGCGCTTCTTTTATTAGCCTGGACTAAACCATTATTTAGAAGGGTAGATCTGAAGGCGTATTTGTCAAATAGTCGGCATGCCAAGTCTTATCAGAGAAGTCCAGATAAAGAATGGCACACATGGAACAATGGCTGATTGGCAAATGAGTTATCTACCCCCCTCTTCTTGCAATGGTTTCTTCTGATGTTTGTTCTGGATTTTTTGGAATTTATCTCGATGAAGGAAAACACTTCGGGCTGGGTCATACCAACTCTACTATGTGTTTGTCAGCCAATGACAGCACCATAGGCTTTACCGCAGGAAATGAAAGAAATAAAGAATATATCTTTGCCGATTATTGTAGAGGCTGAAAGAGAAAAATCGTCTTATGAGGGTTCTTGTTAGCTTGGTAGATCTACTGAATTTCCCCCCCGTATTCTAAAGCCAATTAGAGTCTTTATCTCTTTACAGCCATGTCAATGATGCTTGCTCATAAACGTCTTAGGCCTGGTTCACACCTGAACGTTTTGTAGCGCGTTCAACGCTCGACGAACGCTCTACAAAACGCTCAAACATCTAATTCCCATTGTATTCAATGGGTCTGGTTCACACCTTGCCGTATTTCCGCCCGTCGGAACGCGATACAAAACGGCCTCCGCCCAAAGAAGTACATGTACTTCTTTGGGGCGTTTTGGTCTCGCGTTTCCATTGGGATACAGCCAAGTAGCCTACGGAAACGCGCGTTTGTTGCGCGTTTTTTTTTAACCGCGAATCGACAAACGCGCATATTCAATACGCCTAGGTGTGAACCCAGCCTTAGAATACCTTCCTCCATCAGTGAAATCTGGTTCCCATTGGACTGCACAGTCGTATTTAGACACCCTGCATGACCGCAATAACATCTGTTTTTGTAAGCATTAAAGGAGAACTAAACCTTTTTTGGGGGGCTTTAGTCCTCTTTTGGGCGAAAGGAGTACATTCACTAATGTACTCCCATGACCCAAAGTCCAGCCTGGGGCGCAACCATTGGTTCCTCTATAGCTACAGCGGAAGAGTTTTTGAGTTTAGATTGAGTTTTAGAGCCCATTCACACCACACCCAGATCATCTCCAGACCAGACCAGACTGTTTCCAGACCCAAAATGCATCCTGATGTATCCCTATGCTATTTCTGGTCTCTGTTCATACCAGTTCTAGACCAGACCAAAAAAAATACTGCAAGTCTAATTTTGTCTGGTCTGGAATGCACTGGAACTGCGGGCAAGTTCACGCCATTTTGTGGGCCAGATCTGGAACACACTGCGGTGGGTTTTGCCGCGTTCAATTTTAGGCCTCGCTGGGGGACCTCTGCAAGACCTACAGATAGCCAGGAAATGAGCAGCCCAATGCTTGCACATAAGAGACCACAGATGTTTTTTTCAGAGCTGCTCAAATGATCATAGCCAGGGACAACCTGGGCAGCAATGACTCTCCACTTGTCTATCTTCCCATTGTTCTTATATTGCCCATGCCTCGGATCATACAGTTCTGGGCAGGCTCCCACAAGTTCTACAAAGAATTAGCTGTCCACTTCAACCATCATGGTTCCTATCTTCATAAATCTCTCTCTCCACAGAAGCAGGAAGTTCATAGGTGATGAGATCATTTCCCTTTGCATTCCGGTGCGTTTGTGCGCGTTCCGGTGCATTCCATATGAGGTGCAGGGTACAGTTCCAGTGGTTGTTTATATAATGGGGGGGGGGGAAATTTCTGCCCCGGGCGCCCAGAACTCTGGTTACGCCACTGGTGTGAACAGAGGCCAAGAAGAGCATAGGGAAACATTGGGATGCATTTTAGGTCCAGAAACAATCTGGTCTGGTCAGGAGGTGTGAATGGGCCCTTAGTCTCATTCATCAACAAGGTTCATCTTAGATTTTCAACTACATGATGTGGTTTTGGTCTTCTGTGCCATACAACTAGGGCACCATGCATTCTTCTCCCTAGGCTTCCAAACACAGCACTTACTGGCAAGCTCCACCTTTGATAAGGGGTATTTGTTCCAGCATCCAGTCCAGCTGCAAGATGTTGTTACTGAGGGGACAGTTGGGCTGTATAAAGACTCCCAAGAGCTAGAAGTCCACCAGACGTCTGAGATGTATGTTTCTGAGGAGGACACTGCTAAACCTTTGTCCTTCCAGATGCGTCTACATATAGTGCTACCAGCAGAGGTGGAGATGATGAAGGTGAACCATATACATGATTCATATATTGGTAGGAGAGGCAAAGGTCAGCAGTGAGCACCTGGACACACAACTTCCCAACTTCCTATGACTTTGTCTTTGGGGGAAGGAGGAAGAAGATGAGACATTGGAGGTGAACAGAGGGGAAAAGATTAAATACACGAGGATCTGGGGGGTGTTGGAGCTTCACAAACACGTGAGCTTTCACCAATCCTACTGCTGTTGAATAAAGCTCCTGCAAGATCCATGTATGCATGGCCAGGGCATGGCCCGTCATGCTCATGTGTTGTGTGTTGTGCCCACGTGTATTAGCTCATGACGTTTTGGCTATGGTTGGTCGTGCTCGTAAGCACCAGTTAGCATGTGTTAGCATGCCAAAAGCGCGTATCCCTGTGGCTGGGCTTGCTCACCATCTTGGAAGGTATTTAAACCCTTTCCTTCAGGTTGCCGGTGCTGTAATTTCTTGCCAGCTATCCTAGACTGTCAGAGAGTTATAATACGGAATTTATTGCCTGCCCATTGCAAACCCAGATTGACGTGACTACTCTTCTGCTTGCCTCCCCTTTACCATCTCCATCAACCTGACTACTCTCCTGCCTGCCACAACCGCGGCCTGGACCTGACTACTCTGTCGCTCCCTGACTTGTGAGCAGTCTCCACAATGTAGCATTTCAGTCACCCCCCTCTTGGTGGGGCAATTCTGAGGGCCGCAACCTGGTGGCAGTTTGCAGCAAAGAAAAACAGGATCACTAGGGCTCCTGACCCATCCTCACCATTAGAAGTTATGGTAAAGACCAGCTGTCACTTAAACTCTGCGCCCCGGGCAGGGCCGGATTAACATAGGAGCTACTGGAGCGCCAGCTCCAGGCCCACCACTGAAAATAGGCTTGGCCCGCCCAGATCGCCTCAGTATACCCAATGGCAATCCGGCCGGGCCAGGCTGAACACAATCAGGCAGAGGCGCTGGAGGCTGCATAATCAGGAGGCTGGAGGCTGCGAAGAATGAGGTGACACAGCAAACTAAGAGGAGAACCCAGGCACGAAGTCTGCAGATCCGCCGCAGTCCAGAGTCCGCACAGGAACCAAGGTGGCAACAGAGAAGAAGCAAAGCACATAAACCACCACAAACCAACAAATGGAGATATGAAAACAGGTCCACTTTGAACTGCCAAGATAAACCAACCCAATTACTTGGCAGGAACAAAGTGTTTCATTCTGCATTTCATACAACTACAAAAAGTCAACATTTGTTGAGTATTAATATATTTACAGTGTGAACATTGACCACATTTCAAGGTGACTTTAGAACTATGTCTACAAGGGTCATGTCACGGTCTGGGGACCAGGGTACTAGGGTACGTGAGCTCCGGGCTTGGCGGAGCGGGTTGGAGTCACAGACAGGAGGGATATCTGGGATGTTGGTCACAGGGAGAGAGGAACTAATGGCCGTTTCTACTGTACGGTCGCACGTCTTCCGTCAAACAAGCAGGCTGGAAACCCCGCCGGGAATCGTACGATTCTCGGCGGGTTAGTGGCCTGCTTGTTCGACAACTGCCGAACGGGCCGG